ACATGTGGGGACACGTGGGGACCTATGGGGACACAAGGGGACACAAGGGGTCATATGGGGACACATGGGGTCATGGGGACATGAGGACATATGGGGACATGGGGACATGAGGATGTGGGGACATATGGGGACATGGGGACGTCTGCAGACTTGGGGACATCTGGGGACATCAGGGGAAACATGCAAACATATGGGGACACGTGGGGCCATGTGGGGACACATGGGGGCACAAGGGGGCATGTGGGGACATATGGGGACACATTGAGATATATGGGAACTTATGGGATCACACGGGGCCACGTGGAGACGTGGGGACATATGGGGACATCAGGGGACACATGGGGACATGGGGACATATGGGACATCAGGGGACATGTGGGGATATCAGGGGACATAAGGGGACACGTGGACTTATGGGAACATGGGGACACAAGGGGGCATATGGGAACTCATGGGGACACATGGGGTCATGGGGACATCAGGGGACATGAGGATGTGGGAACGTGTGGGGACATGGGGACATGTGGGGACATAAGGGGACACATGTGGACATATGGGGACACGTGGGGACATAAGGGGCCATATGGGGACGTACAGGGACATATGGGGCATCTGGGGACACATGGGGGGGTTGGGGGCATAAAGGGGTGCGGTGGAAGCATGGGGACACTGCAGTGGGGGGGGACATGGGGACGTGTGGGGACACGTGGGGATGTGGGGACACATGGGGACATATGGGAACTTATGGGAACACATGGGGACACATGGGGACATATGGGAACTTATGGGAACACATGGGGACACATGGGGATATATGGGGGGACCCCGTATGTCCATATGGGGTCATGGGGACATAATGGGACTCATGGGGACACGCGGGGACACATGGGGACATAAGGGGATATATGGGAACTTATGGGATCACATGGGGACATCTGGGGACATGTGGGGACACGGGGGACATGGGGATGTATGGGGACATGGGGACATAAGGGGATATATGGGAACTTATGGGGACACATGGCGACATATGGGGACACATGGGGTCATGGGGACATCAGGGGACATATGGGGACACAGGGACATGAGGATGTGGGGACATCTGGGGACATGGGGACGTCTGCAGACTTGGGGACATCAGGGGACACGTGGACACATGGGGACACATGGGGATATATGGGAACTTATGGGATCACATGGGGACA